CTCTGTCTCTCACCTTCCTCCCTCTGTTTCTGTCTGTCTCTGTCTCTGTGTCTGTCTCTCTCTCTCTTTCTCTCTCCGTCCCTCCCTTTTTCTCCCTCTCCTTTTCTCCCTCCATCCCCAGGGGCCGGATCAGCCATTCAGGCTCTGTGAAACTCTCCGTCTACATGACACTGTACACACTTACACACGTGGTTCTCCTTATCTATGAGGCCGAGGTAAGAGCCCGTCCTGGCCCTCTCTCCCTCCCCCTCCCCCAGTGGCTCTGCTGGTTTCTTCTGTTTCTGCCCTTACTCGGCATGCTCAGCAGGGCTCCCAGTCCCCTCTCCCCTCTGCTCCCTTCTCCTGGTCAGAGCCTCTCATCTCTCTCTGGCTGCACCTTCTGTCTCTCTCTAGCTTTCTCTGCTTCTGTCTCTCATGATCTGTTTCGGGGAGGGGGCTTGCCTTTCTCCGACTCCAATGTAATGGGTTAGGGGCTTCTGCCTTGGCCTGGCCCCCAGGGGGCCGTCCACTGGCATTGACGGTTCATCCTGGCTTGCCCACCCACTGGCCGTGACTTGGCGCAGGTCCCAGAGCCCAGCGTTCGCTTCCTTAGGTGCGTGCCAGGGCCTGACGTTGGGTCTGCTCTTGTGGTCTCTCTGGCCCTGCCTGCCCCTCCTTGTTTCTGTCATTGTGTGGATTTGCAGTCAGAGGGCCTGGATTTGACTCTGCCCACTTATTCCCTGGGTGACTTTGGGAAAATGACCTGGGCCTTCTGTGCCTTAGCTTCCTCATCTGTAAAATGCAGGGCTAGGACGGGAGGACTGGGGCCTCACCACTCTCTCCCTGCTCTCTCTCGGGGCCAGTTCTTTGACCCCGGGCAGGTATTGTACACCTACGAGTCTCCTGCTGGTTATGGGCTCATCGGCCTCCAGGTGGCCGCCTACGTGTGGTTCTGCTATGCTGTGCTGGTGTCCCTGAGGCACTTCCCGGAGAAACAGCCATTCTATGGGCCCTTCTTTGCTGCCTACACGCTCTGGTGAGATGTCCAACGGGGTCCTGAAGCTTCTGGTGAGGCCACTGGATCTTGGCAGCCTGGCCTCTTCAAGCACTGACCCCTCACCTCCAACCTCTTCTGACCCCTGCATTCCCACTCTGATACCTGACCCACATCCCCCATGACCTCCAGCTCCCTCTGATCCTGTGACCTCTGACTACTGTTTATGTCTGTTCCCTGACCTTTGCTTAAAATTCCCCCTCCTGACCTCTGACCTCTCCTAATCCAGGCACCTTCTCTGCCTCTGACATCTTCTGGTGAGACCATAGCCCTGGCCTGGCCTGGGAGACCCTGATCTGGGGAGGGACCTTGGGCACTGTGCTGGGGGAGGGGTGGTCTCTGGTCCCTGTGCTCAGGACCCCTCCCCCCTGCCCCTTAGGGAGCAGGACTTGGGGCCAGGGAGTGGGAGGTGGGCAGAGGTCAGGGCTCACTCCCATCTTTACTCCCGCTCCCCAGGTTTTTTGCTGTCCCTGTCATGGCCCTCATTGCTAACTTTGGCATCCCCAAATGGGCTCGCGAGAAAATCGTCAATGGCATCCAGCTGGGCATTCACCTCTATGCGCACGGGGTATTCCTGGTGAGGATAGAGATGGGAGTAGGGTGGGAGGGGCACTAAAGGCTGGAGCTTGTCTCCTCTCCTCCCCTCCATCTCTTACCTTCTGTCCACCCAGCCTTTTGGTCCTCATCCATTTGTCCCTCTCCATCCTTCTGCCCCCATCCCTCTGCCCTCCGTCTCTCTACCCTCCGTCCCTCTTTTCCCCCATCTCTCTGCCCTCCATCCCTCTGCCCCCATCCCTCTGTCCCCCCTCTCTGCCCTCCATCTCTCTGCCCTCCATCCCTCTTTTCCCCCATCTCTCTGCCCTCCGTCCCTCTGCCCCCATCCCTCTGTCCCCCCATCTCTCTGCCCTCCATCCCTCTGTTCCCCATCTCTCTGCCCTCCATCCCTCTGTCCCCCCTCTCTCTGCCCTCCATCCCT